ATAATTATTCTTTCCTGATGCGAGTCCCATGAATGGTTTTCAACTCGCATTTCTACAAATAGATTTAGTTTTATTTTATACTTATGATCTGAAGTTATCACTGAAAAATATTTTTGAATTTCACTTCAATAGTGAATATATTTTTATTATAAGTCAAAAGAAAAAAAAACAACTTAAAATATGTTTCTTGCTTCTTTTAAGGTTTCTCTCAAATCATTTGATATATCTATAAACGAAATTTTCATCATTTATAGCAGTGGTTTTCAACCATTAGTCTGTGTGTGTGTCACTGTTGGTTTGGCACAACCACCATGCCAATCCACGGGATTTCACAAAAATAACCCAGCATAATCAATAACATTCATATGTAAATCATAAACCAGGTTTTGTTGTATTTACATTTTAGTGGAATAAGACTTGGAGGGATTGGTGTGACCTAGTGGCTAGTGTTTCAGGCTGTGGATCAGAAGATCCAAGGATCAAATTTCTGGACACATGCTGTATGACTGTAACTGTTGACAGTTAATCCTGTTCTTTTAAGAGTAGTCATACGGGTAGCAGGTGCTGTTGACTGGTTGCCCTACCTCTGTTCAACAGCTCTTAATGAAGGATAACTATACCTGAGCCTTGGGGTTCCTTTTCTATTTGATTGAAAGTGGGAAAATACTAAATATTGCATTATGTAATTATGTTACTGAAATATGAAAGTGAAAATCATACTTTTATCAATAATTTCATCCAAAATTACCAATAAATATGTTGTTTCATACCCAAGCAACTTTATACAGAATAATTCAAAATGTAAAAATATTGTTAAGATCATCTTGTTTATTGCAATCATAGTAATTTATATACCTGTAAACAATATTTTATAATGGAAGTTACTCATTGTCCCTTAATTTATATACCTGTAAACAATAGTTTATAATGGAAGTTACTCAATGTCCCTTAATTTATATACCTGTAAACAATAGTTTATAATGGAAGTTACTTAATGTCCCTTATTTTATATACCTATAAACAATAGTTTATAATGGAAGTTGCTCATTGTCCCTTAATTTATATACCTGAATACAATAGTTTATAATGGAAGTTACTTATTGTCCCTTAATTTATATACCTGTAAACAATATTTTATAACGGAAGTTACTCATTGTCCCTTAATTTATATACCTGTAAACAATATTTTATAACGGAAGTTACTCATTGTCCCTTCATTTATATACCTGTAAACAATATTTATGATTGAAGTTACTCATTGTCCCTTAATTTATATACCTG